TGATTTGATTTGATTTGACAAATATTTGATTCAATTTGATTCCATTTGATCAAATTCAAATTGATTCAAATTGATTCAATCAAATATTTGAGTTCAATTCGATTCGATTCGATTCGATTTAAAAAAATTAAATCAAATTCAAATTGCTTAAATATTTGATTTGATTCAATTTTTGGAATTCTAATGATTTCCATATAGCAACAAAAACATATGAAAAAGATATGTAAGACCATTACCTAATGAAGGTAATATTTATGTGAGGTCACTTTAGAAAACGGGAAAAACATATATTCTAGAGTATCTTACTATATCTAATGATATGAATTTACTAGTATTATCCACGTGTCACTTCTATTCTAATGTTATTACTACAAAGCTTAATCTCATTTCATCTTGTGATATTGATAGTAATATAAATCTTCCTAATCACAAGAGGGTAGTTTGTCAGATAGAAAGTTTATAATATATTACTAATAAATACAAATATGATAAAAAATGTAAATGCTTTTTGAGCTAATATGATTTATGGCTTGATGAAATAGTATTTATAATTGTACAAGCACAAAGTCATTTGGCTGGATAGTTGATAAATAAATTATATAAATTAATCCAAAAGGTGAGACAATGGATAATAATTTAACTGATCTCAATACTAAATGGATTAGGATTTTTCACAAAAATAGAGTATTTTCAATTATCTATAATACTTATCAACCACAGGAAGATAAGACATTCTGCTTGGCTTCTAATAAAAAAATTGTATTAGCTGAACTCTGGGATTAGGTCAAACAAATGTTTTTACTAAATTTTGAAAATCAGAAAAGTATTTTGCTTATTTACTATCTCAGAAAGGATATACAAGAGATTGTTCATGCTTTTAAGACTGATTCTCCAGAATTATGGATTAAGGAATATCATGATAAATCTGATCTGTTAGAAAAGGATTATGATTTTAGTAACGTTGAAGAAGTATGGAAAATTATAGACTTAGTTGCTTATACTAGCACTCTAAAATAGGAGTATTTTGTACTAATCCTAATTTTGAGCGAGCATTTGTCTCTTTAATAGCTATATAGAAACAAATGCTGAAATGAATCAGATGTTATTCCGCATGCAATGCATTAAAGATTATATATATCATATTAAGCAAAGATCATCTAATGTTCCAATTACAGAAGAAGAATTATTTTAATAATTGTTAAATGCTAAATGTGAATATTTCCCCAAGAATTTTAGAATAAAGGAATATTTCCAGATATCAACTCTATTATTCAGAATAAGAATGTACTAACTATTCAATTATGGATTACATATATGTTAGAAAAATTTCGATTTTATCATTTATTTGGCTGGAGAATAGTTGATTTTCTCTGAAATGCAGATATAGTAATTTTTATCATAGAACTTATTCCTAAACCTAAAGATAATATAACATTATTATCCCAGACAGTAAAGGTGAGTTTATCTATATTAAAGCAAAAGAAATTTCAGATATATTAAATACCTGTATTTTTAATTATAAGATAGCTGAGGTTTTGAAAAATAAGCTTAAGAAGACTTTAGAGGAAATGTGATCTTTAGACTGGTATTATATTATAGAATATTATAAGATCCCACCTGAATCATTGACCAAAGAATTCATATTGAAGTATGGGAATTATAATTATATGAAATGGTTCAGAGCTTATAGACAGTTATAAAATGCTAGCATTAACAATAAAACATCTGTTGTGACTATCATTATAAAAAAGATAAACTTATCATAGCTATTTGAGTTGAGAGACATTGAATTTGCTTGAAATTACTAAGAATCTGTATACCTGCTAAAGACATTGATGATAGGATACGATATAAAGCTGATGATGTTAAAACGCATATAGATTCTCCTGAATCAATATCATATTTCAGGGTTTAGTGCTTAAAATGGCTAAAGTATTTAATAATACATATGCATCATATAGTGCTAAAAAATCAGGATTAAAAACAATCTAAACAAAATTTTGATTATTAAATTTAGCTTTATATATAACATATTGGTTAAAGTTCAAAGTCATCAATAATAAACATATGTATTATTTATTACTTGGTTAGTTCTTTTGATAGTGAGAATTCTCCCAAATTACCTTCATATCAAACAGAAGAGGATGTGTATTAGGATTAAAGATGGGAACTGTAATTAATATGTTGCAACTTTTAATGTTGCAACTTACGTTGCAATTAGTTTTAACCTATATATGTTGCAACTTATAATGTTGCAACTAATTTTAGCTTATGTTGCAACATTTTGTAAATTTGAAATCAATTGCTGTACCATCTTTAATTAGGATAATAGAAAAGATACTTAATATATCTATAGTAAACTCACTTCCGATGAATTATTATTAGAGAAAAATAGCAAATTATCTCTTAATTCAGTTTAGTAAATAATGCACAAATAATAGAAGAAACTTAAGATTTATTCGATATATGTTAATTATTCTTTAGATAGTGGTAACAATGGTCTTAACCACATCACTTAGACACAAAAATCAAAGCTTCAGGAATTTTGAATTGAAGGACATTAGCTTCATACTTCTGCCTTATCTGATAATTTAACGAATAAAATCTAGCAGAGTGTTTGGGACAACACCCTGTAATAGAATCATTAGGAAATCCACAAATAATGCAGAATCTTTTTTTCATGAAATAGTTCACTCACTGATTAGTAAAAGAGGCCTAAAGAGAATAAGGATTTCTTCTATTCATCTGAATTTTCTATAGATTCTGATTCAGTTGAGATAATTAAAATAAGAAATGAAAGGGCTGTTCCTCATAAGCAATGAAAAAAGGTATGACTGAGAAAGGTTAAGCAATTGGTTGTTTGAAATAGACTTAATTATCTCACTCTTAATACCCTAATATTTATGAAGATTAATATCAGGATATAGTAATCTAATACTAGGCTCAAAAAACTTTTCTTCTAATAAAATCGAAACAATTGTCATTTTCTGATAAATCTAAAACATTTTTATTCACAATGTATACAATCATAATTAATCTGAAGGGATCCCCAACTTTCGTTATCAGTAAATACTGATTCTGGATGAATTGAAAAATTATTACTCCAGAACCTAATATATTTTTTCATGGTTTTTATGGTATGCGTCATCAGCTAATATTTTGAGAGGATCTTCATAAATATATATTTCTCCTACAAATCTATTTAAATTGCTTGGAAATGAAAAGAATACGTTTCTTTAATTGATTCATATTTTAAGTTCTATACTTATATTTCAAATTAATGTGTTAGTTCAAAGTAGTAATCATCAGCTCAGAAGATTTTTTGCTAAAATATGCCTTTGGCTAAATTGAGTGACAAAAATAGGCTGATCATATAATAAGTCTGTATGACATATTAATTTTTACATATATTCAAAAAAAAACATATATATTAATTATGTCTATTTTTTTCCTAATAAACATGAGAAAAATGTGAAAGTAAGTCTATGTGCAACATAGAATTTACCGTAAAAATAAATATTGACAACAAAAGCATATGTTATGAAGGGTTGAGAACTTCAAAATTTTGAGATTAAGTCAACTATATGTCTTGCAAGGTAGATCTACATGTGAAAAGGTATGAAGATTCCATTTACATGTGCTTTTATAGAACTCTTGGCATCAGATGATAATACTAATCATGCCTTATATCTTTTTAACTTTTTACTAGCAAAATATAAAGCATGTAGGTGTATGTGGAAGTTCAGCCAACTTTTCTGCAAAAATCATTTTCGTAAAAATAATACAAAAATAGAATAAGTATATATGTATGCATAGGAGTAAGTTTTTTCTTACTATAGGTTTTGTATTTAGGAAAAAAAAAATGGCCAACATTATTATTACTCTCAATTGTATTTTTTACCTTGTGAAAGAATAGGTTTAACAGAAAATAGCATTACTATACTTAAAATCTCTACTAATAAAACAGTTGATCAGTTGAGGATTATGCTTAGAGAAAGGTGGTCATCCTTATTTGAAAAGGTTCCTCCTGCTGATTTTATACTCAGCAAGATCGATGATACCAGAGAAGATACATCAATTGATAAGCAAATTAATGAATATAATCTTGAGAAAAGTCAAAACAGAAAAAAAATAGCTCCATATGAGTTGATTTCTGAGCATTTTCCCTGGCAACCTCCTAATGATAAAATTCATATTGAAGTAGACATTTGAATACCCCCTCCAGTAGTTAGAAATTATTATTAACACCATGTAACTTCCAAGATTTTTTATGTATTAGTTGTTGCTTAGGCAATTTTTTTTTTATTAAATAAAGTATCAGAATCGATTAGTAAGTCTCATTCCATGGCTAATGGTAGATAGGTATATGTTAAATTTTACTTATCTGATTACCAAAGATATCTTTTCAATTTATGCCAAAATTTAATAATTTTTCATGTGATAATGTGGATAAAATTAAGTTCTTGTTGAGAAGTTATGTGTTTAACAATAAATTAATGTGCCACGATGCATATGCTGATCTTTAGATTTATTTTATGAAATGTTGTGATTATTTATCTGTGCAACAGAAGATACCCAAGGTTTTTTTTTGTTCTTTGGAGAAATTAAGTTGTTTTTGAACAGTAATACAACTATTGTAAAATTACTGAATTAAATTATAACATCACTGAACTACTTATTTGTTTCAAAACATGCTTATCACACTAAATTGTTTGGTTGTTAGTGAAGATCCATATGAAAATGCTTTTAATGTTGATATTGATTTCAGTAAAACTATTGATCATCTTAGAAAAATAATCAAGGAGAGAATCAACGTCCCCAATAATGTTAAAGCAAAGGACCTCAAGTTATGGATGGTAGACATCCCTTTCGATGAAAAAAATGACAAAATGGACATCCTCAGCACCAAGTCAAAACCAAATATCAAAGTTGATCTTAATGGTATTGAACTAAAACCACTTTCGAAAACTAAAAAGCATTTTTCTAACGAACCCCATAAAGACAAAATACATATCATCATTGAACAGCCCGTAGAATCAAAAGAAGTTTATTGTATTGCAACCTACGGACGCAAAATGGAAAATTTTCAATGGATTATAACTCAGAATATGGTTATATTATCTGGATTAAAAGCACATATTTTACATTTCTTGATGGTACCGAAGAGGAACACATCGTTATAAATTGTGTATTGGGAGAGAGAAAGAAACAAAATACCATGCATTTATTTGTAGACGAAGATTTAGTAAGCATTGTCTGGACTAATAGTTTCAAAGATGACCTAACAATCGATGTTGATACGTGTGATTGTATTTTTTTTTAAATCGTCGAGTTTATCTTATGCAATTTTACAATAGAATTCGATTAACATCTATATTATGTTTTAACAGCACAACAACCATTTAGTTCTTGGACATTTGCAAAAATAAAGGATATATTCAGTTTGAAAACGGATAGCTATGATGAACTACCTCAATTTGATGGAGGAATTGTAATAACACCAGAAGATATTAGGAATGACGTGATTTCAGATATTCTGGTATGTACGGTCTTTTTTGACTTTTGCGGAAATTCTATTAACCGAGTGTTGTGATTTGTAGAGAAAGCATAAGGTATCTCTGCCAATTACTAGCACTAACGAAGCTACCCATTGCGAGTTTATCTCAACAATTATCTACAGCATCGTATCAATTTATGGTGGGACCGTTAAAGTTTATCCACAATACGAAATATCTGGGAGGCACAGAAAAGGACCTGTCGATTGGGCAATAAAAGTAGGAGACACCATAATCACTATCACTGAAGCAAAACGAGAAGACATAAACCAGGGCATTGCACAAAATGTTGTTTAACTTAAGTTATCCTTGCAACGTAACAACACAAAATAGACGTATAATGAGGCTATCTATGAAGAAGTAATATATGAGATCGTATCAATGGGTAAGAAAATTAACGGTTTTGTACAACTCTATTTTGCGAGTTTTAGAACTTAATGATTTATTTTTCGCAGGAGTCGATTGGGTCATTATAAAGGTCGTTTCGAGCGGTAATGGTTCTAATAACAGTCATAATGGAAATAATGGGAAAGGGAATGTTGAAGTTTTTTTGAGTTCGCTGTCACCATCTGTTCTTCCTATCAATCTGTCAACATTAACGCGTGAGGATCTTGTAGAACTAATTAAGAATCTGTTTTTGCAAATTAAGTGGATCCTTAATCAACAGATCAGTTCAAAGGATTTGTAAAAACATCAGACTACTAGTTAGTTTAGAATATAGTAGAAAAAATATTATATTTAAGTTGTTATAATTTATTTTTTAAATATATTAATAAATAAATCTTCCTTTTGATTAATTGTTAATAATTTCATGTGTGAAAAAATGAAAAATACGTAGTAGCGATCAAAATTTCTTACTGAAACCATTCTGACGTTTTATTATTACGTGTCTTTGGAGATTATTTCCTTCAGAAAGCGTATTGTGATAATTCGTTAATTAGTTAATAGAATTGCCTTTCAGTTGAAATTCAGGGTCTCAATTTTCATTACTAATCATTATAGAGGGCTAATTAAAGATAAGCAAAAGGGATTATTCTCTTCGATCTTTATTATCTTTATTTTAGCATATCTGGAATTACGCATTTATGATTTTTTCTTAACTTACCCTTTAGAGCAGTGGACTTGTCTAATTGCTTATTTTAATTGGATATGTCCAAAATTGTCCAAAATTTCTATTGAGTTTTGGACTGTCCAAAACAAATTTAGGACTGTCTAAAACTATCCAAAACTAGTTTAGGATAAAATTTAATAATTGATTTAATAATTGATTTATTATGATAATCTTTTTTTTCTACAGTTTTTTAAAATTAAATATGACACGACATAGTGGAGGTCGACTTAAACACAACCTTTCTACATTTATAACAAGTTTAAAAAAAAACTAATTCAATAGATAAAGATCGACAATGTGTATGTAATGCTTGTGCTGAAGTTTTAAAAGAAAATGTTAAAAGTATGATAAATAGAAAGAAAAGAATTAAAAACCATTTAATAAACTGTGAACATTTTTGAAATAAATATGGTGAAGAAGTTGAAGAAATTCTAAATAATTATAATAGTGAAGATGAAGAAATGCTTTTAAATAAACAAATACGTCTTAATGATTAGTATTAATTCTTAAAATTTCTTTTTTTTTAAAAAAAAATTAATTTAATTTTTAAGATTTTATATTTTAGATGATA